GAGGGCCAGGCCGGGCGGGGACCCGAAGCGAACGGTCCGGGCCACGCTTGGCGCCGCCGAGCACCAGGCTGTCCGAGCAGAGGGTCCGGTGGCGAAGCGGGAGCGACAAAGGCACCGGCGGCCGGCGAGTCCTTCCCCACCGCTCGCGCCACTTCGGGAAGTTTCGCTAGCCGGTCCCTCAGCCCGTGGCGCGGGGCACACGCGCCGGCACACCGAGTTTTCGCGGCGCCTCACGGGGGCGGGCCTGTGGAGCGAGCGAGACCTGGAGCGCGCGGGGGCGGCGCACTGTAACTTTGAACTTCGGCGCTCTCCTCCCAGAGCTAACGGGCAGCGTCCCAAACCCTCCCGAACCGGTTCGAACGGGGTGTCTCCCCCCGAAAGTCGGCGACACTTTCGCAGACCTCGAGTGGACGCTCCAAGTGTGTCAGGTCTCTGTGCAGGGCGAGACCGTGAGCTCGACATTGGTGCCTGCGCGCTGGGCTCTCAGAGAACCTGACCGATGCGGCGGCGTGGGATGTGGCCGGCGTCCGTGTGGAACGGCTGGCCGGGACTTGGGACTTCAGTCTCGTGACAGACCTCACTGAGTACTTTCGGGGTCCGGGGTCCGGTTCTGGGGCCAGGATTCCGGTCTGAAATAAACCAGCCACTGGCCCTGGCGGTAACCCCTGCGCTGTGTGTGACCAGCGCCCTGGTAGCTCTTGACCCCGCTTACTTTGCCGGGCGAAGAGAAGACTCACCCGGCGGGAAGACAAGGGGGAGGCGTGGGGAGATTAAGATGGACCACGCTACTTAGCTGCCCTAAAGGAAGATCGCTAAGAAATGGCCTCGCGTTGTTTTGTTTAGTGCATAAGTAATTTATTGTGAGTGGGGGTAAACGGATGGTGATTTGAGGAAATAGCTGGAGAGCCTGGAGAAGCATTGCAGCCTACGTGCAGAAATTTAGTAAAGGAAGTGGAGATATGAGTCAAGGAGAGACCAGAGTTTATCTTAGTTAGTGTTTGCTGTACTAATAATGCCTGTGCAGACATATTAACTATACCGGACAGTGATGTTATTTATCTTCATTCTTAATAATCGGACAAAACTTGTGGTGCCAGACACTTTTCTAAGTATTTTCTGTATTTTAACTCTTTTAATCTTCAGTAATTTAGAGTCTGTTATTATCCTAATTTTTTAAAAGGAAGAAAATGAAGAACTGAAAATAGCCTCGCTCTTTACAAAACTTGTAAGGATCAGAGCTGGGAATCAACTCATTTTGGTTCTAGAGTTTGTGTTTGTAATTATACTGCCTATACCTGTGAATGGTAGTTATTGAAAAAGCTTTTCTGGGTTATCTGCTTTGTTTTAGGGGTGCTGTGTCCTGGGGCAGTGGAAATTAATAAGACACGATCCTACTTTTTTGGAACTTGTTTTAGCAGAGGAAACAGATGCTAAATATAGTTTCCTAAATAATTGCACAATTTTTAATAGTGATCAGTACTTTGAAGAAGTGAAAGATGTGTGAATGAACACTGGGGATAAGAAAGGTTTTTCTCGGAGGAAGTGACATTTAAAAAAAATATTTATGCATACAAGAACTGGGGTACAGGCCAGAGATGGGGGTGGTGGTGGGAGGATTCACCAGAGACAGAGTGGGGTGCAGAACAGGCAGATCTACTGAAATGCACTGCTGGGTGGAACAGGAGAGGTCTGCTGTGCCATATGGGTCAGCTCCTTGGTCAGGAATTGAAGAACTGTAGTGGCTGCTGATAGCTTCATAGTGCTGCAGCTTAACCCCTTATGCCACCAGGGAGGCCCTGAGGAAGTGACATTTAATGTGAATTAATTTGGTCAGTGAGAGACAGTGAAGAATAATCCAGCCAGAGAAGAGACTAAGCAGAAGAAAGGAGTTGGCATACCCAAGGAACTGACTATTGTCACTGAAGAATAGTGAGTGGAAGAAGAGGTATGAAGCAAGGCGCGATTTCTGGCATCCTCCTATGAGGCAGCACTTTGTAAGCCATGTCGTAAATATTTTGGCTATTTCATGATGAGATTTGTGGTTTAGGGAAAAGGCTTTCAATATTAAAAGAAAATATACAACCTGCAGGCAGTATTGGGAGAAAAAAAGGGCAGGGTGTCATGAGTTCACAGAGGATTCAACTATAAAAAGATTGCTGAAAACATAGATGTTTTCCCCTTATGGATAAGGTTTTGCAGTTGAACTAATTTTCAGTTATTGTATGTTAAAATCACCCACCAAAGCTTTTGAATTTAGTTTGAAACCTTTCCTGTTGTAGAAAGACATGGATAAAAGGATTTTTAGAGCACTTTTTAACTAGACTAATTGCATAATTTTATCTGTGATTTTGGATGCTATTTTACCTTAGTTCTTTCATTCTGTCTATGTATTAAAATTAACATGAATTACATTTTCTTCCAGTGACCTGATCTCAACATCTAGATCAATTTTGACTCTCTTCTTCCTCTTGCCTTGTTCACCAATTACATATAAAAAAAATCCCATTGAAATCTGCTATCAGCATCTTGTGCCTCCCTCCACCCCCCTTTTTCAGAGTTCACTGACTCTTGATCTGAGTTTCCTGCCCCTTTACACATTGCAGCTAGGTTCATTTTTCAGAAGCACAGTACAGAGCTCTCCTGCTTGCCTGTGACTATGCAGTTGTTTGTTTTCCTTTACAAAGCAGCAATGGCAGCTCTTCTGCTCACTTGTGACTAATGCAAGTGCCTCTCATTTTCTTTCTCCTTTTTCTAATA